CATCACTTTGAATATTTCTTGCCAATCCCTTCTGGCCCGCAAAGTTTCAGTTGAGAAATCCACTGACAGTCTTATGGGAGCTCCCTTGTAGGTAACCAACTGCTTTTCTCTTGCTGCTTTTATGTGTCTTGGTGTGGGCTAATTTGGGTTGATCTAGTGCAGGACCCTCTAGACTTGTATGTCTATTTTTTTCACCAGGTTAAGGAAGGTTTTCATCATAATTTTTTCAGATAGGTTTTCAATTTCTTGCTCTCTCTCTTCTGCCTTCCAGCACCTCCATGATACGAATGTTGGTATGTTGAAGTTGTCCCAGAGGCTCCTTATACTATACTCACTTTTTGGATTCTTTATTCTTTTCGTTGTTCTGATTGGGTGGTTTCTGCTTCTTCAAAATCTCTGATTTGATCCTCTGCTTCTATCTACTCCACTGTGTATTCTTCATTTCCGACTGGTTCTTTTTTATGTTTTTCAGTTCCATTTTTATGTTTCCTGTATCTTTGTTGAAGTTCTTACTAAGTTCAACTACTCCTCCCCTAAGTTCAGTGTTTTGATCTCTGCATGTAGTATATTGCTTGTCTCCGTTTTGTTTAGCTCCTTTTCTGGGGTTTTGTTCTGTTCTTTCATTTGGGACATGTTTCTTATCTCCTCATTTTGGAAGCTTCCCAGTGTTTGTTTCTATGTATTAGGTAGAGCTGCTACATCTCCTGGGCTTGGTAGAATGGTCTTATGTAGTAGACTAGTGGCCCAGTGCACAAAATTTGTGCACGGGGGGTGTCCCTCAGCCTGGCCTGCACCCTCTCCAATCTGGGACCCCTGGACACCCCCCTGCCGGTTTAGGCCCAATCCCTGTGCACGAAAGCGGGGGAGGGGGTGATATGCCTCAGCCCAGCAGTCAGACATCCCTCTTGCAATCCGGGACTGCTGGCACCTAACTGCTCACCTGCCTGCCTGCCTGATAGCCCCTAACCACTCTGCCTGCTGGCCTGCTTGCCCCCAACTGCCCCTCTCCCGGCCTTCTCACCCCCATCTGCCCCCTGCTGGCCTGATTGCCTCCAACTTGCCCCCCCTGCCGGCCTGCTCACCCCCAACTGCCCTTCTCCTCCTGGCCTGATTGCCACTAACTACCTCTGCCTTGGCCCTGCCACCATGGCTTTGTCCGGAAGGATGTCCAGAAGGTCTTCTGGAAGGCTCCTGGTCTAATTAGCATATTACCCTTTTATTAGTATAGAAGATTGTGGCAATAGTTGGTCTTCAAATATATTCTGTCATCAACTAAGGCCTGGGGAGGAACAGTTGGAATCAAGCTCCCTCTTCCCTACTGTCAGGGTCAGGAGTGGGAGTGGGGGGGGGGGGGGCAATTGGGGGCAGGGCTGGTGGGGGAAGGGGCCTATTGGAGCTTTCCTTCCCACGGCTGCCAGAAGCTGGCCCCACCCCAAGGCTGCCACTGCTTGCCATCTGTGCAGCGCTACCCCCACTCTGCCAGTGGTTGCCTCCCTCTGTGGGCAAAAGGCATAGGGTGCCATTGCTTGGCTGGCCTGGGCCTCCCTCTGTGGGGAGATACCTGGCAGGCCCCGCCCACTTGCCACAGTGTCACTGGCTGGTGGCCTGGGCCTCCCTCTGTGGGGTGATGGATCATGGGCCCCCCCCACCCCCCAGATCGATGCCCCACAGAGGGAGGCCCTTCCCACCTGGCCTGGGCTCTGCCATTCATTGCCACCTACGGGGAGGCCCTGCTGACCAGGCCTGGTCTCATCATTGATTCCTGCCCACACAGAGGCCCTGCCCACCCTGCTGGGGCTCTCGGATCAATGGCAGAGCAGAGGCAGGCGTTTACCACCTGGCCTGGGCTCTGCCATTAATCCCTGCCCACAGGGAGGCCCTGCCCACCAGGCCTGGGCTCTGCGATCAATGGCAGAACAAAGGGAGGCCTTTCCCAACAGGCCTGGGATCACCATTGATCCCCGCCCACACAGAGGCCCTGCCCACCCTGCTGGGACTCTGGGATCAATGGCAGAGCAGAGGCAGGTGTTTCCCACCCGGCCTGCGCCATCAATCCCAGGACGGTCATCCGGAAGGTCTCCCGGTTCCTGGCCTAATTAGCATATTACCCTTTTATTAGTATAGATATTCTGTAGGGCCCAGTGGCAAAGCCTCCCCAGTCACCCAAGCTGGGCACTCCAGGTACATCCTCACTCCACCATGTGGGCTATGTACACCCTCCTGTTGTAGTTGATCCTTAATTGCTGCTGGCACATCAATGGGAGGGACTTAACCCAAGGCCATTCAGCTGCAAGGACTTGTTGCAACCACCATGGAGGATCAACTGTGCAGGGGCCCAACCCACAAAGCAGGACTTACTTCAGCAGGGCCCTGATGCCTGCTTAGTCTGCCCCTTGAGTGTGTTGTTTGTTGAGGTGGTGCTTTGATGTGGTCTAAAGCTGTCCATCTGGTGCACTATCTCTGGGGTCTCCTGGGAGGTGCAGGCCAAGGTCAGCCACCACATGTGTTCTGCCCAAGGTTGCCGAGCATGAGCTACAAAGTAATCTGCAGATGGTTGCTACTTGTGCTGGGCTTGGAAGTGCCCAGGCAAAGCCAAGCTGTGGACCAAGGCCAGTTGCCACTAGTGCCAAACCTGAGGCCCCTTAGCATGAGATACTGAGCACGCTGAGGCCAGATGCTGCTTGTTTGAGAGATTTTTAGGAAAGTTTGAAGCCTGAGCCAAGACAGGCCATTGGAAAAGTCACTAGAAACAGCTTGGTTGAGCTTGAAAGTTGGGTGGGTCAGAGTCTCAGGGAATTACCAGGGATTGGGCTAATGATGGTAGGCAGGTTGACAGAGGCTCGGATATGACATCAGCCTTCTGGGTCTGTGTGGGGAGAGCTCAGAAAAGGAACAATGGCCTCTGCCAGCACTTCTGTCTGGGAGAAAACTGACCCTCCAGCTCTTGCCCTAATGCCAGACAATTCAGTTCCTCCCTGTATGTCCCTGGTGTCTTTTGAGCTGCTGCTCCAGTGCTGCACTAAGAGCAAGAAAATCTGAGTAATTCCCTGCATGGGCCCTTTAAGAGGAACTCTTGCAACTCCAGCTGCCCTTCATCTCACTCAGCCTCAATCCCCGCTGAGTTTTATAACCAGAAGTTATAGGGACTTCTCTTCCTGGCACTGGAACCCTGAACTGGGGGATCTAGTGTGGAGCTGGGACCCCTCACTCCTCAGGGGGGACCTCTGCAACCAAGAAATCTCTCCCAATTTTTATCCACCACACTTGGGTGTGGAACCAGCCTGTTCCATGTCTCTGTCCCTCGTACCAGTCTCCATGTGGCTTCTTCTTTATGTCCCTAGGACTTCTATTCAGCTAGAATTCTGGTGGTTCTAAATGATGATTGTTCTGTAGTTTAGTTGTAATTCTGCTGTGGTCATGGGAGGATTCGTGTATCACATTTACCTACTACCCCCACCTTGACCAGAAGCTGCACTGTAGTCCTTATTTTCCAGGGACCCAATTTACTTCATAGTAAGTGTTCATGGCTCTAATATAATCATTAATATGCAGTGTAAGCTTTAAATAACCACCCTGGTTTATGTTCCTGAAAGGTACCTGAATCTAAATCCCTGGACTTAATCACCTAAATGCCCTCAGGAAAACTGACATTTAACAGTCTAGTTCTGCGCCCTTTGTCTATGCCTGAGGCATGATACAAAGCAGAATTGAAATGGGCTATTCTAGGCACTTTTCAATCCTTGCTGCTTATGCCAGTCTGCCTTGATCTTTTTTTCCCCCTTATCAGACTATGCTGTCCCTGCTTTGCAGAAATCTTAGCTATAGCTGTTGCCTGGAAACTTGGGAGTCCTTGAAGTGAATGTCTGCTGGGATAGCTAAAGACAGCATAAGGGAAAGTAGACCTCCTATAGGCAGTAAAATGCAACAGATTTTAGATGGTGTGTTCTTAGTTCACTTCTGGGAGTCTTCATGTTAATACCTGCAACTTTAGAGATTTCAGACTGGCATCTATAATAAAAGCGTAATATGCTAATTAGACCAGACAGCCAAATGACCTTCCAGACGTCATTCCGACGACCTTCCAGACGAAGCCACCGCAGCAGAGGCAGCAGCCATGGCGGGCGGGGCCAAAGCAGAGGCAGTTAGTGGTGATCAGGCAGGCAGGCAGGCAGGCAGCGGCAGTTAGGGGCGATCAGGCAGGCAGACAGAGTGGTTAGGGGTGACAAGGCAGGTGGGCAGAGTGGTTAGGGACGATCAGGCAGACAGGCAGGCGAGCGGTTAGGAGCCATAAGTCCCAGATTGTGAGAGAGATGTCCAACTGCCAGTGGGATCGGGCCTAAACCGGCAGTCGGACATCCCCCAAGGGGTCCCGGATTGTGAGAGGGTGCAGGCCAGGCTGAGGGACACCCCCAACCCCTGCCATGCACAAATTTCATGCACCGGGCCTCTAGTTCTTAGATAAGTATAAAGTAGCCTGAATTTAAACATGATATTGTTCCTTCTTCCAATCCTCTCTCCCCAAAAGTAGCTATGCTGACTTATCTGACAAGTAGCATTCTCCTCTGGCAAAGATCTTAATTTAGATACGTTTGGAGAAGAGGTGGAAGAGGGCAAGGCTAAATGAACCAGCTGCCTCAGGTTGCTTTCTCCAGCACTCAAGCTTATGGTGTTAAACTTCATCTTAAGCCAGTACTATGAGTATTCCCAGGAAGCCTGCCTGTTTAATACTCTATTTAAAGTGCTCTACTTAAAACAACCTATAAGACTAAAAAAAATGTATAAATGTTAGTTTTTGTTCTTCCAAGACACATAAGCAGTGAATTTCTCCTGTTATCTAACTGGCTAGGTTATTGCTTTGAGTTATCCAAAAGTTTCATAACTAGGACTTGAGATACCCATATCTTTCATACCATTCTTCTTTTGAGAACAGAAAATAGGTCACCTGATCTCAAATGTCAATATTTTCTTTGCCAATCCATGGTCCCTGCTATTTAGGCATCATGGAACCAAAAGCTTTAGAAATATGTTCTTATGACCTAAACAATGGGCTACAAACCAGCAGGTTACAATATCATCTGGCCTCATGTAGAAAGGTGCGTTTTCCTCATAAGAACTGTTAAGTCACTGGAGGGGGGAAAATAAACTCAAAATACAAAAGGTTAAATACTTAAAAAAAAAAAAAAAAAAAAGAACAGGCTTCTGGCCATCCATACCATCTAGCAGTTCTCAGTTCTTAATGTCTTCAGCATTTCCAGAAAGGAATAGAGGGTGGAATACAGGAAAAACCTGATAGCCATTTAACAAGAACTTTTGCCTTTTAGAAAAATCCAAATGTAACTAGAAAGATGGCTAATGGCAAATATAATGCTTGTCATGTTGTCCTAATCAAAAGGCTCAAGGAACATGAAGCTAACTGTGTCAATAGAATTGCCAATGGTGAACGTAAGTTTTTTATTTTGGGGGCAGATAAGTGGTATCAAATTCTATTGCTCCCTGCCCTCCATATTTCATAGCTATGGAAGTCTTAGTTGAGTGAGAGGAATAAAACACAGAAGGAACATTCTACTCTGCTTCTACAACTTCCATTCTGCTTTATTTCAGAGCCATTTAATCTTCCAAAAGTGATTTTCCTGCATTTGGAATCAACTGAAAAACTTTCTAATGCTGACAATCAGATTCCTGACCCTGACATCTGGAACATAGGTGAGCAAGGGTGAAACAGTGAACACAGTCATAAATGAAGGCTTAGATCCTAAGGCCTTCATAGCTAATAAGTATTGCAGCCCTGAATAATTGTCTTACCACTCCTCCCACAAAATCCTTTGCCAAAAACATCAAAATAGTAAATCTGAGAATTTCATCTGTCTCTGGAGAGGCAACCCAGTAAAAAGAAGGCTAGCTTGGCCTGTTTTTCTCAGTGGTTAGACCGTCAGCCTGTGGACCAAAGGGTTGTGGGTTTGATTCCCAGTCCAGGGCATGTACCTGGGTTGCAGGCTGAAGCCCCAGCCCAGTCAGGGCACATACAAGAGGCAACCAGTCAATGTATCTCTCTCACATCAGTGTTTCTCTCTCTCTCCCTCTATCTCTCTTCTTTTCCCTCCTTCCTTCCCACTCTCTCTAAAAATAAATGGGAAAATATCCTTGGGTGAGGATTTTTTTAAAAAGGAGTCTCATTAAAATCTAAATTCACTTACAACAATTAAGAATTTTCTTACCTTACCAATATCTTGTCAGTGTCCATAGAAAAAAATTACTGCTATAAACTAAAATTTGTAATCTGAAAGGTTGGGATTTATTCTATCTCAACTAACGTCTTTTCTCAAAGATTCAACATGTTATAATGGAGAAGTCATTCGCTTTTCAATCAGATCTGCTCTGTCCTAAATGGAAATTACTTCTCTTCCTCATTTATGAAAGAAATAATATCTACTTCACAAGGTAGATTAATATTAAATTAAGATGTGTGTTAGAGCAATGCAAGCTCCTTTAACAGATAAAGTCCAAACTGTGTTAATATCTTGGTTTAATACAACAGAAGTGTCCTTGTATACAATCCCTGTGCAAGTATTGGTAATAATTCAAGAATACAGGCTCTTTTCATCTTGTAACTGTCACTTTCCACACTTGGCTTCACAAACTGCCACAAAAAGAGATTAGAGTCCTAGCTGGTTTGGCTCAATGGATAGAGTGTCAGCCTGTGGACTGAAAGGTCCCTGGTTCAACTCTGGCCAAGGGCACAGGCCCAGGTTGCAGGTTCAATCCCCTATACAGGGTATGCAGGAGGCAGCCAATCAATGATTCCTTCTCATCATTTATGTTTCTATCTCTCTCTCCCTCTACCTTCTTCTCTGAAATCAATAAAAATACATTACAAAAAAGAATTTTTTTTTTAAAAAGAGATTGGAGAATGTGCAGCTGCCTCTTAACCACCTCAGCCCAGAAGAGAATACTTCACATTCCATTGGCAACAACTTGTCACATGACCATACCTGAATGTAAATGAAGTGGAAATGTTGTCCTTGGCAGATCAGCCACTTTCCAGGCACAATGCAAATCTCTGTTGCCATCTAGCCTTCTATGCAACAATATAAAAATGCTTAGTACATGTGTTACTTCTTCCTCTGTTCTTCTAATAACATCATTCTCCTTCATCTATTCTTAAGACATTTGCTCCTAAAATACTGGTTTGTGAAAAGTAAGATAAATCATCATATAGAAGGTACTTGAATAGAAAACAGAATATCTTTAAGTTGGACACTCAAAGTGAGATGGCCACTAAGTCATAGACATGGCAGATGCCTCACCTTCAATTACAAATTTTAAAAGAACTGTATTCATGGGCTCTGAGTACTTCCATTCCTTCTTCTAAGGCTCCACTTAGGACTTTAATCCATCAAGGACTTGATTACATAAGTGAATTCTATGTAAGATTTTTCAAGGTATAAAAACCAATGCTTAAAATGATGAAGGGGGGAAAATTAGTGTACTACACATGAACCAGGTGAGGATCCCCAACCAAACAAGCTTGAAGAGCACATCCAAGAGTCAGAGGAGCTATCAATGGAGTTACCTGCCACATACACAGGGAGGAGGGAAGGTGCAGAGGAACTATATAAAACAAACTAGCACAAAATCAGTAAGTCCTACTCTGACATTTAGTAATATCAACTCTTTTTTGTTTCGTTTTATTTTAATCCTCACCCAGGGATATTTTTTCCATTGATGTTTTTATTGAGAATGGAAAGGAGGGGGAGAGACAGAGAGAGAGAAACATCAATGTGAGAGTCACATCGATTGGTTGCCTCCCTCATGTACCCCGACCAGGGCTGAGTACCGAGCCTGCTCCAGACCACAGGGTAAGGGAGGGTGCAGGGGAGCGGGGAGGACACAGTGATCAGGGGGTGGGTACAGGGAGCAGGGGGTAGGTGCAGGGCAGTGTGGTGATTGTGAGGTGGAGGGTGGAGGTGGAAGAGAGCACAGAAGGATAAATAGTGATGGTAAAAATAAAATAAAATTTTAAATCAAATGTATATTTTCTACCATTAGCAGTCTTATTCCTCCCTAGTATTTTCTACATCCTTTTCAAATAATATTTTACTTCAATTAAAGCAGAAAATAGAAGGGAGAAAAACTAGACACTTTTAGTATCTAGCATTATATATATATATATATATATATATATATATATATATATATATATATATGAAATACTTTGGCCCTGACTGGTTTGGCTCAGTGGATAGAGCGTTGGCCTGCGGACTCAAGGGTCCCGGGTTCGATTCCAGCCAAGGGCATGTGCCTTGGTTGCGGGCACATCCCCGGTTGGGGGTGTGCAGGAGGCAGCTGATCGATGTTTCTCTCTCATCGATGTTTCTGACTCTCTATCCCTCTCCCTTCCTCTCTGTAAAAAAATCAATAAAATATATTTAAAAAAAAAAGAAATACTTTGTACAAAGGAGGGCTACTGACTTTCTTAAATTTGCATAATATAAACAATATTTAGTTTTATCTCTTGACTAAGGCATTACACATATTTTGAATTTTTTAAATTGTATTTTGGTATATTAATAGCAGACTATGTAGAAACAAAAGAGTGAAAAAAACAAAAATATAAAGATATTTTCGTCATATTTTTGGCATATAGAATCTACCTCTAAAAGGTCATGCTATCTCAATTTGGGGACACATAAATATTCCTCCAAACCAGGGTACTCCTGAGCAAGAGAGGGAGAACACCAATTATCCTGGGACAACAAAACAAACCAGGTCAGCCACCCTAGTCTTAGGGGATAAAACATCACTTATTAGGCAGGTGTGTCATTCAAAATACAGGTGCCATATCTACTCAAATCTCACTTTAAGAACTTTTGAACCCCTTGGAGCAGGGGTCCTCAAACTACGGCCCGCAGGCCACATGCAAATACAAATATTGTATTTGTTCCCGTTTTGTATTTTTACTTCAAAATAAGATATGTGCAGTGTGCACAGGAATTTGTTCATAGTTTTTTTTTAAACTATAGTCCGGCCCTCCAACGGTCTGAGGGACAGTGAACTGGCCCCCTGTTTAAAAAGTTTGAGGACCCCTGCCTTGGAGGAAGGCACAAAAGAAACTAAAACACCACTTTTCAGATTCCTAACATTTGGTCAAAACTTCAAGAAAGCCTGGCCAGCATGGCTCAGTGGTTGAGCGCTGACCCATGAACCATGAGGTCACAGTTCAATTCCCAGTCAGGGCACATGCCCAGGTTGCAGGCTCTATCCCAATGTGGGGTGTGCAGGAGGCAGCAATCAGTGATTCTCTCTTATCATTGATGTTTCTATCTCTCTCTTCCTCTCCTTTCCTCTCTCTGAAATCAATTAAAATTTTTAAAAAATAAATAATATTAATTTTTTAAAAGTTCAAGAAAGACCAAAATTATAGAAAAATACTTATTTTTTTAAAAAGTCAAGTTTAAAAATGTCTCATAGATTTCCCAAGTCCTAACTATTCCCCTCATGCTCCCATAACAGGTGGCTTGCATCTCCATTAACCCTCCTTTCATTCTGATTTTTTATTAAACTACTAGGGGCCCAGTGCACCTTGAAAGGAACTGTGGGGCTTGAGGCTGCAGTGGGCACAGGGGCGGGTCTCAGCCCATCTTCTGCACCCCCGCCCAGCCCCTCCCGCCATGGCCCCTGGTCCCCTGTCTGCCAGCAGCCCCTCTCCCCCCCCACCCCCCCACCCCCGCTGCTGCTCCCATGCACCGACTGCGCCAACCCTGCTCACACCTCTGACAGCACAGAGCAATTGGGGCCGGCGCCATCAGCAGGTGTGAGTGGCAGCTGCTGCCCCAATCGCCCCTCAGGAGCAGGGGGAGGTGGAGAAGCCCTGAGGGGTGATCAGGGCCAGCACCATCAGCGGGTGGGAGTGGTGGCTGCTGCCCTGATCATGCCTCAGAAGCAGGGGGAGGTGAAGAAGCCCAGTGCCGGCAGTGGGTGCAAGTGGGGGCTCCAGCACCAGCAGTGGGTGCAAGCAGGGCCAGCGCCAGCAGCAGGTGCGAGTGCTGGGCAGGACTGCAGTGTGCAGGAGCAAAGAATTTTCAGTAACCACCAGAGGCTCAACCCAATGACAGCGACCAGCACCCCACCTTGGTCTGGCACCCCTGCTCACCTCCACCATCCTGCCGCAGCCGACGCCCACCATGTTCCACGCTGTGCCACCTGCTGCCAATGCCCACCATATTCCCTGCACGCCCCCTGGTGGTCAGTGCACATCATAGCGACCAGTTGTTGGGTTGTTCCGCCATCCGGTCTATTTGATATTAGCCTTTTATTATATAGGACTAGAGGCCCGGTGCACAAAAATTTGTGCACTTGGGGGGGGAGAGGGGGTCCCTCAGCCCGGCCTGTGCCCTCTCGCAGTCTGGGACCCCTCGAGAGATAATGACCTGCTGGCTTAGGCCTGCTCCCAGGTGGCAGAGGGCAGGCCCAATCCCTAGGTGCAGCCCCTGGTCGGGCTCAGAGCAGGGCCAATTGGGGAGTTGGGGAGCCGCCCCCTGTCATGCACAGAGCAGGGTGGATCGGGAGGTTGCAATGCCACCCCTAGTCACGCTCAGGGTAGGGCCGATTAGGGGGTTGGGCACCGCCCCCTGTCACACTCAAGGCAGGGTCGATAGGGAGGTTGCGGCGCCACCCACTGTCACGCACATAGCAGGACCGATCAGGGGGGGGGGCGCTG